AGTACTTATTTACTAATTGCTAGTGGAGCCGGAATTGTTTTATTAGGATTAGGGATTTATTGATTGTTAAGGAGAAAGAAATCTTTGAGGAAAAAGTAATTATGGTTATATAATGTAGCTGCCTAAACTTTATGCTTATGTTATTGCAGTGAATATCAGTTGGATTTTTCTGATTTAGGTTTTTGTAATAAAACTAATTAAACAAAAAATGGCAAATATCCCCGTCCTGAATAACATATTGAGCACTTTCAGTGCGAATTTTGCCTAGTTTTTTTAACTGTTGTTCATTGGGACAAGTTAATCAATCTTGATAACTATATATTTGGGCTCGAATAAAGCCTTTTTCGATATCAGAATGAATTAAACCAGCACATTGTTTGGCATCCATTTCCTTACTAGCCAGTCAACTTTTAGTTTCTTTTGGTCCAGCAGTGAAAAAAACTTTTAAGTTTAATAATTCTTTAATTTTTTCAGTAAGTAAACTAAGGTTAGCACCTTGTCAATTTATTCCAAGTTCATCTTTTTCTGTCGCGGTTAAATTTAGATAATCGTTCTCTGCCTGTACTGAAACAGGGAAAAAATAAATTTGCTTTTCCTTAGCATGGTTTTCCAAAACTTTTATTTCTGCCGGCTGGTTATAATTGGCAATAATAATCATTGGCTTAATTGTTAATAAATTGTAAGTTTTAATTATTTGTGTTCATCCTTGCTCCTTTTGTTCGGTGTCTAATTTTAACTGCGAAATGACAGAGCCGTTCATTAAATTTTGTTCTAGGTAAGCTAATAACTTCAATTCTTTCTCAGTTTGTTGTGGTTGCTTTTTTTGTAAAGTTTGTAATTTTTGTTTTCTTTTTTCAATTTGTTGTAAATCAGCAAGAATTAATTCACTTTGGATAATTTCGTAGTCTCGGAGAGGGTCAATATTTTTTTCTACATGTTCGATGTTGGAGTCAGCAAAACAACGCAAAACATGACAAATTAAATCTACTTCTCGAATGTGAGAAAGAAATTCATTTCCTAAACCTGAACCTTGAGCAGCACCTTTAACCAAACCAGCAATGTCTACTCACTCAATAACACTAGGAGTTGTTTTGGCACTCTGAAAACTTTGAGTCAATTTTTCCAAACGAAAGTCAAGGATAGGCATTATCCCATGGTTAGGGTCGATGGTGGCAAAAGGATAGTTAGCAATTAAGACTTCTTTTTGGGTCAAGAAACGAAATAAACTACTTTTTCCAACATTTGGCAAGCCAACTAGACCAATTTTAATCATTTTTTAGGATGTCACAATACATTCATTTTTTTGCTGCAGGTATATGAAATTTTTATAGAATAAGGAATTTTCTGGTTAGAGTTTGACCAAATTAATATTGAGTTTTTGCTTTCTCTTTATTAACAAAGTATGGCTTGTTTTTTATAAATTAGCAGTAGCAATTGCTAAAATCAAAATTAATCAAAGAACTACTAAAAATCAGAGTCATTTCTTATTTTTTCCGAAAACTCAACTACGTCAACTTCCAGGTTCACCATCATAGCCCATTTTTTTTCATATCTTAGACCGACTTAGAGAACAAATTACAGAAATAATAAAAATGTATAATCATGCAAAACTCGCATATTCTCATTCTAGCAAGATAAATTTGCAATTCTTTCCGCAAAAATAGCCTGAAATGAGTACCGAGGTGATGAAATAAAGTAAAAAATAGAAGAAAAATTCCTCTGCTTCTCGTTGCCTATTATTGCTTTTTTTATTTGGCATTATATAAATTTGTAGCGGTTCTTTTTAATACTTAAAAAAAACAATATGGAAAACTGAGAAAAAGTCAAGGAACTGAGCGAAAGTTATTTTTATCCTCTCCGTAAATGGTGGTGAATAACAGTTTTAATAGTCTACTGGGCTTTTCACTGCCAAGGTAAGAAAGTTTGATTTACTTTGCAAAGAGAGAAGAAAAAACTTTTTCAACAAACTAGTATTTTCCTTCTGGTGATGACTTTAATTCATTTTTTGGTTAAATTACTCTCTCTCTCTCTCTAACTTACCACCGCGAGCAAAATTAATTGAAAGATTAGTTCAACAAATTACTGAAGCAAAAAATTTTTGGGGGCTGTTACCGGCAATTGCAGGTTCTTGCCTTTTTGCTCCTGTTATTGAGGAGTGTCTTTATCGTTTTTTTATTTTTGAAATTTTGGGAAAGAACAATCCTTTTTCCTATTTACTTTCTTATTTTACTTTTATTTTGGCTCATTGGCAAGTCAGAGGAGAAAATTTTGCTGCCCTTTTTATTCAATATTCCGTAGCCTCAATTGGTTTTATTTGAATTTATAAAAAGAGCAGCTGGAATTTACTTTACCCTATTGTTTTACATTCTTTGGTAAATATGGTGTTTATTAGCATAACATTAGTTAATCCTAATTTTTCTTTGATTTAATTTTGCTGGCTCGCGGGAGTTTTGGGCAAATTATTTAGTAGTATTTCCCGCATTTTTTTGCGAATATGGCGACGAGTAATTTGAAAAAGTTCCGAAGTTTCTCAAAAAAAAGCTTCTTGGGAATCTTGAGGGAGTCAACCTTTCACATAAACTAGTTGACGAACTTTTTCTAAACTTTCCAGATAATTGGCTCAAGCGAAATCAATTTTTCGTACTAATTGTGATTTTATGTATTGCTGAGATTCTAAGGGCGACTTATTTTGCTTTAAAATCATGGCAAAAACATTGGGACTAGCAAGTATTTTTTGGCGATAACTATAAATTGTTTGTCGTTGATGATTAATTAAAAGGTCGTAGTTTAAAGTATATTGACGTCCGGCGGCTTGGGCATTACGAATTACTTCTTGTGGTTCAGCCACCATCATATTAAATCATTTGCCTTTTAAAGGTTTGCGGAAAAGTTCTCGTAAATTACTGCCATAAAAAACTCTAGTAATTTGTTCTTTTATTTCGTAATTTTTAATTAAATCATCTTCTAGTGAAACATAAAATTGGCTCTCTCCGGGATCTCCTTGTCGTCCGGCTCTCCCACGTAATTGGTTATCAATTCGACGACTGAAATTTCTTTCAACTCCGATTACTAGTAAACCATCAACTTGGCGGCTTTCTTCAGTTAAAACTATGTCAGTTCCGCGTCCAGCCATATTAGTAGAAATAGTTACGGCTCCTAATTCTCCGGCTCGCTTAATAATTTGGGCTTCTTCTTGGTGGTTAACGGCATTCAATTTGTAATGAAAAATTCCTTCTTTAGTAAGCAAGTCTGAAATGTATTCGGAAACATCTAAATTAGGGGAACCCACTAAAATTGGTCGTTTTTTGGTTTGCTCATTTTTTTTAATTCTTTGGATAACTGCTTGATATTTACTTTCTTTATCTAAAAAAATTAAATCATCACAGTCTTTACGGATCAGTTTTTTGTAAGGACGAATGGCAATTACTTCCATACCATAAACTTGGCGAAATTCTTCGGCTTCAGTCATAGCAGTTCCGGTCATCCCAGCCACTTTGTCAAAAAGACGAAAAAAATTTTGGTAAGTAATTACCGCGGTGGATTTGCTGGGTGGGCTGATGGGAATTCCTTCTTTGCTTTCAACTGCTTGCTGAATTCCAGCACTGTAAACTCGGTTCGGTACCAACCTTCCCGTTAATTCATCAATAATGACGATTTTTTTTCTTTGAGGATCAACAACATATTCTACGCCATTTTGATAAAAATGCTTTGCTTTTAGGGAATTGTTAAGTAAAAAATTAGTTTCGTGATGCTTAAAAGAAAAGAGGTTATCAATTCCATGGAATTCTTCAGTTTTTTTGACGCCTTTTGTGGTTAGCCAGATTTCTCTTTCTTTTTTATCAAATTTGTAATCAATCTTTTCAATCAATTGTTGAGACAAGTAAGTAGATTTTCGGTGTTTTTCTTTAACTTCTAATTCATTACCTCCTCATCTTTGAGAAATAATTAGAGGATTTTGGGATTCATCAATTAAAATCGAGTCTACTTCATCTAACAAAGCATAAGAAAAGCGTAAATTACTTTTATCTTCAATCCGAGTTACTAAATTATTTCTCAGATAATCAAATCCTAATTCGCTGCCGGTAGAATACACAATCGCACAGTTATCATAAAGCTCTTTTTTTTCTTCGGGGCTATGGGAATTTGAATTAAATCCAGAGGTAATGCCGAAAAAATCAAAAATTGGTTTGCCTAGTTTTCAATCCCGGTTAGCCAAGTATTCATTAACTGTAATTACATATACTGGTTTGCCAGATAGAGCATTCAAACAAATTGGTAAAAGTGCCGTCAAAGTTTTCCCTTCTCCAGTATTCATTTGGGCAATGTTGCCATAATGGAGTACAATTCCTCCAAAGACTTGCGTAGGAAAGAGCAAAAGACCAGTTTTTCGGCGAATAACTTCCCTTGCTAAGGCAAAAACCGGCACTAAATACTTGTCTAAATTCTTGTTTTTACGAATTTTTTTTCGCAAAATCACGGCTTTTTTTTGTAGTTCTTCTTCAGTTAAAAGACTATTTTTTTTTTGTCGTGCTAAGATTTCTTTTTGCAGACGTGCAAACTTGCGAAGAATAGTTTTTTTCCATAAATGACCAAACATATAATAAAATTTTAGATATTATTCGTTTGCCTTTTTTATCATAGTTTTTTGCTTACTCATAGCCAAAATTATCCCAAAAATCAACCAAATATACTTAGTTAAATTTTTCCATAAATCTTTAAAATTTTTCTTTCTCCCGCGCTCATTCATTATTAGATAAGCATATAAAAATTTGGGACTAATTTATTATCCAAATTTAACGCAAAATTTCTTAACAAATAATCACAGTTTATCTAGAATTAACCATGGTTATTTTTTTCATTTGTCTTCAATAAGTTAGCAGCATCTTACCGGACATAAAATTTAATTTATGAATTCTTTCCATCCAAAAATTCTGTGAATTGCTACTAATAATAAAGACAAAATTCAGGAATTCAAGGAAATTCTCTCTCCTTTAGGTTGAAAAGTCAAAACCCTTTTTGATTTAAAGAAAGGGTTCGAGATAAATGAAAATGGAAGTTCTTTTGTAGAAAATGCCTTAATTAAAGCATGAGAATTAGCTAAAATTACCAAACAACCATGCTTGGGAGAAGATAGCGGACTTTGCTTAGCGGCTTTTCAAAATTGACCGGGAATTCACACCAAACGAGCCAAAGGAAATTTGAATTCTAAACAATTTAATCAATTGATTTTAGCTGCCATGAAAGTAAAGAAAAATCGTAAATGTGCTTTTATTTCGGCTTTGGCTTTTGTTGATCCCCAAAAAAAGATAGAAAAAACTTTCGTTTCTTCAGCAAAAGGCGTGGTTTCACAAAAAATTATGGGTGAAAACAGTTTCGGCTTTGATCCTATTTTTTACTTTCCGCAATTGAAAAAAACTTACGCTCAACTTACTCTCCAAGAATGTGAAGAAAATAAAATTAGTCCACGCACTCAATGCCTGAAAAAGTTTTTACGTTGACGAGAAAGAGGATTATCAAAATAAAGTAAAAATTATGATATGTTAATAGTCTTTGTTGGCATTCCTGGTTCCGGAAAATCTGCCACGGTGAAAGAACTAGCCAAATCTCTAAATATAAAACATTTTTTTGTGGAACCGGAAGAAGAAAAATGAGCAGATGCCGCCAAAGACTGAAAAACTTATGGTAGCTTTTCCATGCTTACTTGGTTTCGAGCAATTCGAGTTCCTATGCTATTTGAAGCCCAAAGATTAAATGAAGAGGGAGAGAACGTGTTTATTGACACTTATTACGATAAATTATTGTATTATTACATTGATAAATATTGCATGCGTTGATTGATGTCTCCTTCGGATCGGTATTTTCAAGTTATGAAACAAATTGCCGAAATTGATAAGGATGTACTCCCTGACGCCGACATTATTATTTTTTTTGAAGTTGATCATGATGAGTGAGTAGAATTTCTCAAATTAAGAAACCGAGAAGCAGATCAAGATAAAGATTTTATGAAAAACTTTGAAACTCAAAAATTTTTACTCGAAGCCACTAAAAAATTGTGTGAGGAGAAAGGAATAGAATTAATTGTTTTCCGTCAACATATTTCTTCGGTTCAAGAATCAGTTAAAAAATTAAAAAAATTGCTAGAGAACAAGATAAATAAAAGAAGTAATTAAATTTATTACGATTATTTAAAAATCTTTATATATCAAATCGGAAAGTGGCCTAACGGTAAGGCACTTGGTTTGGGACCAAGGGATTGCAGGTTCGATTCCTGTCTTTCCGACCATAAATATTACTTATTTTATTTATTTAATTTCTTGACTAGTTTTTTTCCTGAAACCAAAATATTTATTAGATAATGCATTAAGGAAAATAGCAATTCCCAAAGTTAACGCACTTTGTCTAAATTTAAATAGTTTTTGCTAAGAAAGTTTTCTCTGTCGAAGAACTTTACTCATTTACTATTAATTACTTTATGAAAATACTGGCAGTGAACTATTTTCCCTGTTAAAAGTATCTTCGCCACTGAAGTGCTTGACTGCCGTATTCGGAATGGGAACGGGTATTACCACTTCGTTAGAACCACCAGTATTATCAAAGAGGGTTTATTCCCTCAAAACCGAACACAAAAGAAAAATTTCAACCAAAATAAGTCTTCAATAAATTAGTACAACTTAACTGAACAGATTACTCTGCTTACATTTGTTGCCTATCAACCTCCTAGTCTGGAAGGTATTTTATTTCCTTTCGGAATGGGAAATCTCATCTTGGGGCTAGCTTCGCACTTATATGCTTTCAGTGCTTATCTATTCCTAACATAACTATCCAGCCGTGCCATTGACATGACAACTGGTACGCCATTGGTTAGTCCATCCCGGTCCTCTCGTACTAGGGACAGCTCCCCGCAAATTTCCTACGCCCGCAATAGATAGGAACCAAACTGTCTCACGACGTTCTGAACCCAGCTCACGTTCCTCTTTAATGGGCGAACAGCCCAACCCTTGGTAGTGGCTTCACCACCAGGATGAGAAGAGCCGACATCGAGGTGCCAATCCTTTTCGTCGATATGATCTCTTGGAAAAGATAAGCCTGTTATCCCCGGGGTAACTTTTATTCGTTGAGTGCCGACCTTACCACTAAGCATCGGCAGATCACTAAGTCCTACTTTCGTATCTGTTCGACCAGTCAGTCTCACAGTTAAGCATCCTTTTACCTTTACGCTCAACGCAGGATTTCTATTCCTGCTGAGGATACCTTTGAACGCCTCCGTTACTCTTTAGGAGGCAACCGCCCCAGTTAAACTACCCACCAAACACTGTCCTTTTAGTTCTAAACCAATAAGTTAGGCTTTTTTGCCAAACAGGGTGGTATCTCACCGTTGACTCCATTGATTCTAGCGAACCAACTTCATAGTCTCCCACCTATCCAGCACAGCTCGGAAAAAAAGTCAATATCAGGCTGCAGTAAAGCTCCACGGGGTCTTTCCGTCTAGTTGCGGGTAACCTGCATCTTCACAGGTACTAAGATTTCACCGAGTCTATGGTTGAGACAGTGCACGAATCGTTACGCCTTTCATGCGGGTCAGAACTTCAATTATGTTAGCTAATAGTTTCCTATTAGATCAGACTATACCTTCACCTTATTCGACAACCTTAGAAATATTATTTTCATAGTTATCTTTTGCTAAAATAAGGGCTGACGTCTTAACTCATTAATGTTGAGTTCTTGGCTTTCGCTTCAGTCGTTACGGGTCATAAAACATTTGTGTTCCCACGGTATTCCCTTGGAAATTAATTCTTTAGGGTTCACCGTTATTAGTCAGTTTACTTAAACAATATCACTACTGTTTTCAGGCAAATTCTTTCACCTGACAAGGAATTTCGCTACCTTTGGACCGTTCAATTTTTATTATTATGTTAACATCCAATGATGAATGCGATCAACTTAACATTGATCCTTCCTATCGCTAGGAAGTTCGGACTATATCATCAGAATTGTTATATTTCTGTTTGGCGTATAGTCTCTGAGGATCCTACTCAGCAAAATTTGCTTTTGGTTTCCTGCTGATTGTCCGCACCTGTTGGATTTTTACTATCGTCGCATTCCCCAAGTGGGAACACATTTTTTTAATAGTACCAAAGGATACTCGGGTTTTCCAGCATATAGCCAAATTTTGTTGACGAAACTACAACAGTTATTATAGTTACGGCCGCCGTTCACTGGGGCTTCAATTCAGAGCTTCACCTTGCGGCTAACTCCTCCTCTTAACCTTCCAGCACCGGGCAGGCGTCGCCCCCTATACATCGGATTACTCCTTAGCAGAGAGCTGTGTTTTTGGTAAACAGTCGTTCGTGCCTCTTAACTGCGACCGATGTTTTCATCGGTACCCCTTCTCGCGAACTTACGGGGCTAATTTGCAAAGTTCCTTAACCATAGTTATCTCGCTTGCCTGAGGATATTCTCCTTGACCACGTGTGTTCGTTCTCGGTACGGGCAATATTATTATTTTTGGTCGAGCCAAACTTAGAAACTTTTTTGAGAAGCAAAGTATCAGATACTTCGGTACTCAGCGAACCTTTCCCTATCTATCATACTTCAAGGTTGTGCACCACGGATTTGCCTATGATGCCCTCTAAATACTTAGACCAACACATTCAACAATTGGCTTATCTTAACTGTCTCCGTCATTCCATCAGTAATAATATTAGTGCAGGAATATTAACCTGCTGTCCATCGACTACGCTTTTCAGCTTGGCCTTAGGTCCCGACTAACCCAGGGAAGACGACCTTGACCCTGGAAACCTTGGTCATTCGGCAAGAAGGATTCTCACCTTCTAGCGTTACTCACACCGGCATTCTCACTAGCCAAAACTCCATCAATCCTCACAGTTTGACTTCATCGCTTTGGCTACGCTCCCCTACCACTAAAAGGCATTAGTTAATGAATTAAGTAGTCATTGTTTCGGAACTATATAATTAATAATAACACTAATTAATGCCTTTTAGTTCATAACTTCGGTATAATACTTGAGCCCCCTTACATTCTCGGCGCAAATTCCTTCGGCTAATGAGTTGTTACACACTCCTTAGATAATGGCTACCTCTAAGCCAATATTTTAGCTGTCTGAACGAATTCACTTCCTTCTACACTTAGTATTATTTAGGGACCTTAGTTGATGATCTGGGCTGTTACCCTCACGTCCAGGGATCTTATCACCCCCAGACTGACTGCCAGATAAGGAGTAAAGGTATTCGGAGTTTGATTATAGTCGGTACCCAGTTAAGAGCCCTTCTATATTCAGTGCTCTACCTCCTCTACTTTTCGTCTGACGCTAGTCCTAAAACTATATCGGGGAGAACCAGCTATCTCTAGGTTCGATAACAATTTCAGCTCTAATCACAAGTCATCCAAGATCGTTTCAACGAGCACTGGTTCGGTCCTCCATGGGGTTTTATCCCCACTTCAACCTGCTCATGATTAGCTCACCTAGTTTCGGGTCTATAATCACTGACTTAACGCTCTATTAAAACTCGCTTTCGCTGTGGCTCCACTTCGCAAGAAATTTAACCTTGCCAATAATTATAACTCGCCGGCTCATTCTACAAAAAGCACGCCATCAGACCTTAACGTCCTCTGACTTTTTGTAAGTGTGATGGTTTCAAGTTCTATTTCACTCCCCTTCCGGGGTTCTTTTCACCTTTCCCTCGCGGTACTAGTTCACTATCGGTGATTGATGAGTATTTAGCCTTGCAGGGCGGTCCCCGCGGATTCCAACAAGGTTTCACGTGCCTCGTTGTACTCAGGATTAAACGCAGAGAGTTATTGATTTCGAATACAAGGCTTTCACTTCCTTTGGCTTGGTTTTCCAACCAATTCTTCTATCAATAACTTTGGTAACTCTTAATGCATTTTCCTACAACCCCAATTAGCGTGCTAATTGGTTTGGGCTGTTCCCTTTTCGCTCGCCGCTACTCAGAGAATCATTATTTATTTTCTTTTCCTCTGGCTACTAAGATGTTTCAGTTCGCCAGGTTCACTTCTAAGCATTATGCTTAGATATTACCACATTACTGGTAATAGGTTGCCCCATTCGGAAATCCCCGGATCAAAGTTTACTTTCCAACTCCCCGAGGCATATCGCCGGATATCGCGTCCTTCGTCGCCTATCAATCCCAAGGTATCCACCATCCACTCTTTTTAACTTACGCTATTTGGTGAAATCTTTTTTTGTGTTCAGTTTTCAAAGAATAACGAGAGATAGAATCTCCCAAAACTAAATAGAACCTTTCGAAAAATCCATTTCTATATTGAAAGGAGGTAATCCATCCGCAGATTCCCCTACGGATACCTTGTTACGACTTAATCCCAATCGCCAATTCTACCCTTGTCAGCCATCTCCCTTGCGGGTTAATAAACTGGTTTCAGGCATTACCGACTTTCGTGATTTGACGGGCGGTGTGTACAAGACCCGAGAACGTATTCACCGTGACATTGCTGATTCACGATTACTAGCGATTCCGACTTCATGGAGTCGAGTTGCAGACTCCAATCCGAACTTAGGTTAGTTTTTTGGATTGGCTCCCCCTCGCGGGTTAGCGACCCTTTGTCCTAACCATTGTAGCACGTGTGTAGCCCAAGGTGTAAGGGGCATGATGATCAGACGTCATCCTCTCCTTCCTCTAAGTTATCTTAGCAGTCTATTTAGAGTTCTCAACTAAATGATGGTAACTAAATATGAGGGTTGCGTTCGTTCTAGCACTTAAGCGTACGCTTCACAGCACGAACTGACGACGACCATGCACCACCTGTGTCGGGATAACCTCCGTTGAGTTTCTTCAACTTTGCCCTCCATGTCAAACCTTGGTAAGGTTCTGCGCGTTGTATCGAATTAAACCACATGCTCCACCGCTTGTGCGGGTCCCCGTCAATTCCTTTGAGTTTTAGCCTTGCGACCGTAGTACTCAGGCGGAGCATTTAAAGCGTTAGCTGCGACACTAAGCATACGCCTAATATCTAATGCTCATCGTTTAGGGCGTGGACTACCCGGGTATCTAATCCGGTTTGCTCCCCACGCTTTCATGCCTCAATGTCAGGAACAGAATAGTTGACTGCCTTCGCCTTTTTTGGTGTTCCTCTGTAGATCAACGCATTTCACCGCTCCACACAGAATTCCATCAACCTCTCCTGCCCTCTAGCAGAACAGTATTGCTAGCTTCCGTCAAATTGAGTTTGGCATCGACCAGCAACTTATTCTACCATCTACGCATCCTTTACGCCCAATAATTCCGGATAACGTTCGCCACCTATGTCTTACCGCGACTGCTGGCACATAGTTAGTCGTGACTTTTTGCTCGGATGCAAGCTTTAAGGAGTACATCCAAGTAAAGAAGTTTACAATCCGTAGACCTTCATCCTTCACGTAGCATTACGCGGTCAGGGTTTCCCCCATTGCCGACAATTTCCCACTGCTGCCTCCCGTAGGAGTAGGAGCCGTGTTTCAGTCCCCTTGTGGCCGATCAGCCTCTCAGCCCGGCTACGCATCTTGGCCTTGGTAGGCCTTTACCCCACCAACAAGCTAATACGCCTTATCCCCATCATTTAGCGAACCGAAGTCCTTTCCTGGTCGAAACCAGAATATGCGGTATTATTCCCCCACTAAACGGTAGGTAAGATAAGTATTACTCACCCGTACGCCGCTAAAAGCAATATTGCTATCACTTTTCGCTCGACTTGCATGTGTTAGGCATGCTACCAACGTTCATCCTGAGCCAGGATCAAACTCTTAAAAAAAATTAGCACGAGAATTCACCCGTACGTGATTGGTTCTATTTAGTTTTCAAAGATCATCTATTCATTTTTTTCTAATTGAGGGAAAAACAAACAAACCCAAAATCTCTATAATATATTTTTACTGCCAATTTTTCTGTATCTCTTTTTGCTTAGATATAAATTTATTGGCTGATGAGAAGAAAAAATAAGAAATAAGGAGGTTTGGCCGAGTGGTTTAAGGCGGCAGTCTTGAAAACTGCTGATACTTTATGGTATCCAAGGGTTCGAATCCCTTAGCCTCCTCCATTTTTTTTAAAGTTGAAAATGAAATTTAATTATTATTGGTTGCCTTTTATTACCACAAAAAAACCTTATGACTAATTCACCTTTTAATAAAAAAAAAAAACGCCAAATAATTCTCGAAAACTTTAATAACCGCACTCATGAAGTTTCTTTGGCTAGATTACAAGAAATTAGTAATTCTCTTATTTCTCCTTATCATACTTTTTCTGGTTTAAATAAAAATTGTGGAGATAATGTTCACTTGCTCATCCAACAAGAAAATAATTTTGTTAAACTAGCCCTTTTTGCTAGTGAACAACAAGCGTGTTGCTTGACAGTTGCGTCAACTAATATCTTTTGTCATTGAATGGAAAACAAAAAAACCGAATTAATAAAAATAGCAATTGAAAATATTGAAAAAATGCTTCAGGGTCAAGAATATCAACTAAATGATTGTCTCCAGATGGAAGTTTTTCAAGATTTGCCTCAATTTCCCCACCGAATAGAATGTGTTAATTTAGTTTTAAGAGGAGTAAAATCGTTAATTTAATGCATAATGACTAAAGTAGAGGGAGAATGTCAACTCTAAAAATTACTAATATGAAAATGATTGTAGAAATTTCATATCACTCTTTGCCTTAAAAACCACCGCCAAATTCCTTAAAAGTTATGGTTATTTTTGTTCGAGTTAGTTTATATTCATATTTTTAGTATACAATTGATATATCATTAATTAGTTTAGTTGAAATTGAACTAAAATTAGATATATGAATTACGAATTAGATACAGCAGAGAGAGAGAGAGAGAGTAAAAAAAAGCATCACCAAAAAAGATTTATCATCTATTTAGTGTTGTGAATTTGTTCCGGAATTATTACCGGCATTGCTAGTGCTTTGGGAGCCTTAGCGGGAGCTGGTTTAGGCGGAGAAAGTGGAGCGATTAGTGGAGCTTTAATTTTTATGCTGATTGGGGCAATTGCCAGTGTTACTTTTTTGGCTTTATGGATTTATCATTTGGTGAAGTGAGCAAGTAAAGATTAGATGAATTATTTGAAGCAGATCAATTAAAAATGACTTATAGAGAAAACTAAGAAAACCCTAACTAAAACTAATAATTGACGTAAAGAACTCTTGTTTTGAACCACTCTTTTAGCTAATTTAATTACTATTGTTTTTTTTGTTTATAAGTTATGAAAGAATGGTGGGTTTTAAACAAATTCAAAGCAATTGAAGCAGAGTTGGCTAGGAGCTGGCGGATTTGATTGCTTGTTCCTTCTCTCGGTTATTGAATTAATAACTACTCTCTCTCTCTCTCTCTCTCTCTCATTTTATCTAAAAACATTGGGATCCCTAATCTTTTCCTTAATCCTTTGCATTAATTGTTCTTTGCTTAAAAAACCACTTCCGACATAACTAATTACAATGCTTAATTGGCGACTGGCTCAGTAAGTTCACCGACTACCACTGCCGGAGATTCGAACCTTAGAACCATGCGATAACCCAAAAAACTTACTAATATCAATTCTCGCTCCTAAACCAAATCAATCTTTGACGCTGAGATACATCTCTTTGCCTCCCCTTTTATAAAATCCTCATTCGTTAGCTACTTGGATTGCTTCCCGAAATTCATCTTCCAGCGGATAATAGCCTAAAACATAATCCATGGCTTGTTCGTGAATATATTCTAGAGAAATCCTATTCGCTCTCCTTTGCTGGTCAATTTGTTCTTGCCGGCGAGCCATAACACGCATTTGTTCGGCTTGTTGCCTTAATTCTTGCTCTTGTCTTTGCATGAGGGCAGCTTCTTGTTGCATTCTGGTTATTTCGGCTTGCTGTTCGGCTTTTTTGCGTTGGAGTTCTTGTTCTTTGACAGCTAATTCTCTTTCGTGTCTTCGGCGTTCTTGGAGCATTTCTTGTTCTAGGTAGGCTTTTCTTTGGGCGGTTTCTAGTTCGATTCTTTGGCGTTGTTCTTGGTCTTCTAAGGCGACGGCTTCGAGGCGTTTGCGGGTTTCTTCGGTTAAGAGTTGGGCTTGCTTGGCTAATTTTTCCTGTTCGAGTTTATTTTGGGCTTCTAAGGCTTGGATTTGTTGGCGTTGCTTTTGTTCTTCTAATTCCATTTCTTTTTGCTTGGTTTCTAGGGCTTGCTGGGCAAGTTTTTGGTTACGTTCGATTTGTTCGGTGCGGGCTTGGAGGCGGGTTTGTTCTTGTTCAAATAACTCTTTATCACGAGCGGCTTGTAATTGGCGTCTTTTTTCGGCTTCTTGGGCGTCCAGTTCTCTTTCTCTTTGGCGGTTTTCTTCTTCCTCTTGGATTTTTTTATCTTTTTCGTGGAGTTGTTGCTGGCGACGGGCTAATTTGGTTTGTTCGAGTTTTTTGCGGGCGGCTTCGCGGGCTTGTTTTTTGCGTTGGTGTTCGGCGGTTTCTTGGTCGAGATTAGAGAAGAGATTGTCGTAGCGGGAAGGAGACTTGGCGGCCTCTTTTGGAGTAGTTTGCTTAGTTTTTTGGTATTCAGTGAATTGTTTTCTTAATTCTTCTTCGTTGCTTGAGTTCAAGGCTTCTTCGGGGGTTAGTTGGGCAGTATCTCTTAGTCATTGGGCAAAGTTAGCGTCTTGGGGTTTTAAGCCGATATCTAGTCATTCTTTGGCAGTTTCGCAGGTAAAGCCATTGTTGGCTCATTCTTTGGCTAACTCTGCTGTGAAATTAAGGCTAATAGTGGTTCATTCTTCCCAGTTTTCAAGAGGAGTTTCGGCAGGAGCAAGCCGATATCCGGCAATTTCTTTCTTTACTTGCTCGTTAATTAGCTCTTTGAGGTTTAAATCGGCTAATACTTGCCTTTCTTTTTTGGGGCTGGAGGAGACGAATTTGTCTCAAATGGTTTGGTTAATAGTGATTGGTTGGGTTTGCTGGTCTTGGAGGTAGGCTTGATAGTCTTCCTCTAATTCGGGGTTATTGGTTAAGTAATCAGCAAAAGATTGTTCGCTAAAGTTCTCTACGGCAAACCTTAGCAACTCAAAAAAGTTATACTTAGGAATAGTCTTAAAGCCAAGGGTGAGGAGGATATCTCTTTGTCAGCCATTAATCGCTTCTAGTTCTAATCAGTCAGCCAAAGGATAGTTTAAATTCAGGTTGTCCTCTCCTGCGGCAAATTCTTCCAAGGAAACTAGGATGGATCGCTTGTTTTCGTTTATTTCTTCCTGGCTGGTTTGCTTGGCTTGCTCTTTTGCTTCTTGCTCTAAGACTTTTTGCTCGCCTTGGAGGAATTTGAGTTTTAAGGGTAGGTAAGGGCTTTTAGTTTCACCAAATTGGGTGTTGGGGTCAGGGAGAATTTCTTCTTGCACAAGAAAACTCAAGTTAGTTGCCTTTAAGCCAAGAGAGCGAATTAGTTCAAGGGATTGCGGTGAATACTTAAACTCTTTGGTTAATGGGGCTAAGCTTTGGAGGATAGTTTTTTGTGGCTCAGTGAAAGGGAAAGTTTTCAGTCTTTCCGGGCTAAGGTTAGCCAATTCTTGCTTTTGTTCGGAGGTCAAAATAACCTTCTCTAAGCCGAAACTAAGCAAGCTCTCTTTTTGCTGTTCGCTTACTTGCCAATTGGAAGCATCAAAGAAACTAACGCCGATATCTTCAAGGGCGTTTCTTTGTTCGGCAGTTAGGTTTAAATTGGTGATTAATAAGCGGAGAATGTTTTCTTTTTCTTGGAAGGCGAGGTCGAAGTTTTGGGCTTCTTGGTGGATTTGTTGGCGAATTTGAGCGAGAGTTTGTTGGCTTTCGGAGGATTTTAGACCGAGAGAGTTTAAGCCGGCGTTGAGGAGTTTGAGTTTTTGGAGATTGGTTAATTTGTCGTAATTGGCTTGGAGTTCTGCTTGGTGGTATTTCATTCGGTCAGCTTGGAGGGAAATGGCGAAAGTTTGTTCGGGTGTAAGATGGAGGTTAGCCAAAAGGTTAGCGGTTTCTTCGTTGAGTGGGAGTGGTTCGATAAGGGCAGTTAGTTTTTGGAGTTCATTGGTTGCTTGGCTTTTAGGAGTGATTGATTTTAATCAGCCTTTTATCCTTTGCCATTCAGTTTTAATACCGGGTTCTTTGGTTTCCAGGGCATCTATATCTACTGCCGAAGTAAGCGGGTTTTGCTTGATTTCTTGGAGTTGTTGGATTATTTCGTTGATTTTGGCTTGGGTTTGTTCTTTTTGATGGGTGTTTTCGGTAGTTTCAAGTTGTTCTTGGGCTTGTTTTAGTTCGCTTTCTAAGGTTTTTTGGGTTTGGTGGGGTTTTTGTTGCTGGTTGAGTTTGGTGAGGGTTTTTTGTTGGTTTTGGAGGTATTCTTGTTTGGTTTTTTCGGTCTTTTCCTCGTAGGTTTTGGTTTCTTCTTTGATTTTTTGCTTGGTTTCTTGGTGGATTTTGGCGAGTTCTTTTTTGGCTTCTTGGGCAATTTGGCGTTTTTGGTATCAGGTGTAGGCGTAGAGGAGGGCAATAATGGCGTTAAAACCAACGACAGAAGGTCATTTGTATTTTTCTTGCTCCGGGGCTGAATAAGCGAGAACATTGCCCATGACATAGCCGATTATAAGGACGTATTTATCTCATAAGTCAATATATTCCATTAGGGTGTCCTTGTGATAATAGGCAATAGCTAAGCAGATATTAAGGATAATCAAGCCCGGTAAACCATTTCGCTTATAGACGATATATTCCAGCAAGAAAATAACCAAATAAAGCATGAATAGGGTCATTTGCTTTTGCTGAGCCGAAGAAGATTCAGAAGCGGCAGAAGAGGCGGCAGCGGCTTGGGCGGCTTCTTCTTCCATAAGTTTAGCGACAGGAGGGAGTTCAGGTGCTGGCGGTTCCTCTAAAACTTCTTCTTGGGTTTCTTTTACTTCTGCTCATTCTTGTTGGAGGATTTCTTGCTGGGCTTGGGTGATTTCGGCTTGTTGTTGTTCTAGTTCAGTTTGGAATTGCTGTTGGGCTTGGCTTTGTTGGGTAGCTTGGACTTGTGCTTGGATGGTTTGAATTTGCTGTTCTTGGGCTTGAATTTCTTGTTGGGTTTGACTGGTTTGCTGTTGTTGTTGGGCGAATTGTTCTTGTTTTTGGGTGAGTTGGGTTTGCAGTTGGGTAAGTTTTTCTTGGCTTTCGGCTTGGGCGGCTTGGAGTTTTTGGGCTTGGGCAGAGGAGGTTGGTTTAGTTAAGGCTTGTTCGGCTTTTTTCAGTTTGTTTTGCTCTTTGGTGAGGGCTGATTTGAGTTGAGTTAGCTCTTTTTTGGTCGCTTGCTGTTGCCTTTGTTCTTGGGTTAGTTTGGCTTTAGTTTGGGCGGTAGCTTGGCGGAGTTGTTTTTCTTGGGCTTCTAGTTGGCTGAGGTTAGGTTGATTGGCTGAGGTTTTAGGTTCAGAGGTTTTTGTTTGGACTTGTTCGTAAATTTCTTCGGTAGCGGTGATATTTTGCTGAATTTGCTCTTGGATTTCGGCTAATTGGGCTAAGAGTTGGCTTTTGGTGTCTTCGATTTGTTGGAGGAGTTCTTCAGCGATTTCTTGCTGAGGTTTGCCTTGTTCGCCGCTAGTTTGGGTAGTTTCGGGGTTTCTTTTGTCTTCGGTAGTGAGAGGGGCAGATTCGTGGTCGCCTTTAATTCTGGTGTCTCAACCTCATTCTCTTAATTCCTCTTCGGTGTATTTCTTGGCTCAAGAGGAATTAGGGTCTAAGGGCATGCCTTCCGGACGAGGGATTTGGGCTTCGGTGCCTTCTAAGATGCCGACCTTTCATTCTCGTTCGGCTAATTCTTCGGTGAGAGTGGTTTGGGATTGTTGGAGGATGTTTAATTGAGCGAGGAGTTTGGCTTCGTCGGCTTTCAGTTGGAGGGTCTTTTGGAGTTTAGCAAAGGCGAGTTCTTGGGCGGTGAAGTCGGCTGATTGTTGGGTTTTTATAAGGTTGTCTAGGCGTTCATTGGCTAACCGGGCTTCTTGCTTGGCTAATTCCGTTTCTAGTTGGTTTTTTTGGATCTGGGCTTCGAGTTCTTGGATACGTTGGCGTTCTTTGGCTAATTCGTCGGTAAGATTGTCGATTTTACGCACTGCTTTTTGGGCGGTAAAGAGGGCTTCTTCGGTTTTTTCGTCGAGATTAAAGATTTGTTCGTGGATTTGGTTAATTCTTTGGTGAGTTTCTTCGGCGATTTCTTCCATGCCTTGGGCGACAAATTCCAGTTTAGCAGTTTGTTCTTGGAGGAGGTGAGTTTGAGTTTCGGTGTCTTCGAGGATATCACGGAATTGGTGGTCGAGTTGCTTTTGGGCGAGTTTAAGATGGTGTTGTTCTTCTTGGTAGTCTTCTAAGCGGTCTTGGTGGTCAGCAATTTTCGTGTTGAGGGCTTTGGTTTGGCGAGTATATTCTTGTTCGAGGCTTTCAAAGTCTTGTTGAGTTTGAGCGGTTTTTTGGTTAATTTGTCCTTGGAAAGTGCTGAATTGGTCAGTAAGGTGGTCGAGGTTTTGCTCGATTTGGTTGGTTTGTTGGTTGAATTTTTGTTCTTGTTTTTGTAAGTTATCGGCAAGCTCTTGCTTGGATTGGTTAAGGTTTTCGAGTTTAGAATTAGTGGTTTTGATAGCATCGGCTAGTTCTTGGTCTTTACGTTCTCTTTCGAGTTTTTCTTCAAAGATTTTTTGGGCGTTTTGGAGAGTGCGTTTTTCGACTATATCGAGGGTTTCATCGATTTCGGAAAGGTGGGTTTGGATTTCTTCATTGATGCGATTTTGAGCTTGGGTGATGCCTTTGATTTGGCTTTCGATTTGTTCTCTTTGGCTTTCCATTTCTTGGCGAAGTTGCTGTTTGGTTTCTTCATTTTTTTGAGTGATTTCGGCTTTTAATTCTTGCTTTTGTTGTCGCATTTCGCCAGAGAGGTTGGCTATTTCGTTGTCGATACGGGATATCTCTTGGGTGAATTTGGCGTCTTGTTGTTGAAGTTTTTGATTGAATTCTTGGGATTGTTGGTGGATTTGCTCTTGGAGTTCGGATTTCATTTCTCCCATCGCTTGGCGGAGTTCGTGTCCTTGGGTTTCGAGGTCGGATTTGAGACCATCCACATCTGAACGAAGAGAATTCAAACCTTCCTTGACAGTTCCTAAGCCTTCTTCTAAACTTCCCACTCTATTGCCGAGACCCTCCATTTCTCCTTCTAAATTACCAACTTTGCTGCCTAATCCATCTAATTTATCTCCCATTTCTCCTATTTTCTTGCCATGAGCGTTAACTGATTTGCCTAATCTGGCTTGCCCATCTTTTAAGTCTCCTACTTCGGCAGCGAGTCCGCTTAAAGCTCCGCTAAGCATAAGGTCTTTTATCTTGTCAACAGCAAATTCAGCTGAAGCAAGAGCCATACTCGCGCCAGCGGCTATTGTTCCGGTGAAAAAACCACCAGCTTGTAATCAAGGAATTCCTACTCTTCTAATACCTTTAACAACTTCATCAACCATTGCCAGACCAACTGAAGAAGCTCCGCCTTCCGCCATTTCTTCCGCAGTTTGGTCAGGATTTAGTTCAGGGATTTTTTTTACTCTTGGAATTCTGGCTACAGTATTATTATAAGCACGTATGGCTCCATTAAGCATGCTAATCGCTTTTCTTAATATTGTTGCACCAGCTCCGTGCTTTTTGTTTTTTAATTTATCTCTGTGTTTGGTCGATTCTTTGAATTCGAGATTATAGTCTTTGTCGTTTTTAGTCATAGTTATTTAAATGTTTGTGGTTAGATTAGTTAAGTTTGGGCTGTTTTCAAGGCAAAGTTTTAAAATTATTTATTATGGTTAATGAAAGCAATAGGAATTTGGAATTAAGGTTAAGAATACAAGAAATCAGGGGCAAAATACAAGAGAGAGAGAGAGAGAGAGAGAGAAGAAATATTAAAAAAAGGCAAACTTCCATGATATGGTCAATTAATTTGTGCAATAATCTTTCTTGCCACGGTTTTTGTTCTCGTTATTCCGGGAGCAATGGCTATCGGACAAGAAAACTGAATAGCTTTTATAGTCTGTTTAGTTCTCTTTATAATTATTAATGGAGTTATGTTTCTAATAGCCAATAACTCTGAAAAAGGTAAAAGGTATAAAAAATTGGGGCAAGAAATAGAACAATTAAAAGCAAAGGAAAAGGCTTTAGAGCGAGAAATAGCAAATCAATAGGGCAAGGGCAAATAAAGGGTTCTTATGCAAGGATATAGTTTATTTTACTCAAGGTCAATCAATTTCATTATATTTCTGCCTTCAATAGCAATCAATAATGCCTAAAATTTTAGGATTATTATCATCACAACACCAAACTAATCGGTAAGAATAACCCCACTGATTAAAAACTGGCTCATAAGTGTAATAAGAATATTGGTAATAATCTCCCTCATATTTTACTTCTTCTTTGCTTTTGCCGTCTAATTGATGAACCAGTTCTCTAATCAGATCATCAGTTATCAATACTTTGGCTAATTCCGCCTTAGTTAGTTTAATTCCTTGTTTGGCTAACCCTTGTTTAAATTCTTTATTCTTTTCTTCATAATCCGGACTGATTTCGAGTTTAGTGAAATGTTGTTCGTCGATTGTTATATCGCAAGAATAATCTCTTAAATTAGTAGGCTTTTGCGGTAGCTTTTTGATTATCATATTGGCTGTTTATTCTTAATTCGCAAGGGACATGTAATTCTTCGAGGTAGTTTATTAGTTCTTCTAGAGTTAACTTATCTAAATGGCGAAATAAGATATACTCTGTTTTTGCTTTATTAACGCCTAATCTTTGGGCTAATTCTTTTTCAGAGAGGTCATTTTCGTCTTGATAACGAGAGATATTGAGGCAAAGGTGATACTTAACTTTATCGGATTCAGTGGCGTTAGGTAATAGACCAATATTCACTCGGCGATAACCAGGACGAGCAATTCTTTTACGAACTCTTTCTAGTTCTTCTTTCGGCGGGAAAGTAAATCTCTTTGGGCTTGGGCTAACTTTTTTAATTATTGGCATAATATTATTATTTTTAGTTCAAACCAAGGACAGGGCAACATAATTCATTTAACTCCCACTCAAAATCCACAAAATAATCAACAAAGCTACACAAATTCAAAACAAACCTCGATAAAAAGCCTCCTGTTTGCGGTAATAGTCTACCGGCTTCCAAGCAGTTTCTTTGGCTTTGGCGGAATAAGTTTCGATTTGTTGGCTAGCTTGGTTTTCTAATTCTTCGGTTTTTTTGGCGATAGGTTGTTTCACATACTCATCCCAAGTTTCTCAGGCTCAGTTTTTCACCGTTTCTTTAATTCCCATTATTTTTTTCTCCTTTCCGGTTAAGTAATCATAAGCTGCCAATCACTACCAAGGCTAAAGTAGCCAGTAATCAGGGATTAATTGGTTCAGTTTTAGCGGGAAATTTATCGGGCTTGGGCTTTTCTTTGGCTTTCAACTGACTCTGCAAACCAACTACTTCTATCCTTAATTTACTTAATTCTTTGCTTTTTCTAGTTAAAGTTTCTTGGTGAGTTTGGCAATTGGTTTCTAATTGGGTGAGGAGTTCTTGGGCTTCTTTTTTGCCTTTCAGTTTTTGTTTGGCTAAGGAGAGTAGGGATTGCTCTAGGTCAACAATCTTTTGCTCTAATAAGGGTTGGGTCTCTTGGATTTGGGCTAATTGCTGGAGAGATTTGGTTAAATCTTTTTGGAGCTGTTCCTTTTGCTGGGCTAATTCAGTGCTTTCTTGCTGGGCTTGGGCTAATTGTTCGCTAGTTTCCTTTAAAACTTCTTCACTCTTTGCTAAATTCTTCTCTAAATCCTCAATAGTTTGCTCCTGCTTGCGGTTCTCGGTAATTTGCTTTTGTAAGACTTCTTTGCTTATTTGGAGCCTTTTTTGCTCGGTTTCCAGTTCTTTTTTGCTAACGCTAACTTTTTTTAACTCTTCCATTTCTTGACGTAAGTTAGCTGTAGAGGTTTGGCTGACAGTTAAAGTTTTTTGGAGTTCGGTCAGGTTTTGTTGTAATTGTTGGTTTTTGGTTAGTTCTTGGGTGAGTTCAGTGGTTTTTTGGGCGAGATTGGTTTGGGCTTGGGTTAATTCGTTAGTTTTTTGGGTGAGGTTTAATTCGATTTGTTGGATTTCCCTTTGTTTAGCTTGGAGAGTTTGGGCATGGGTTTGTTGGCTAGTATCGAGTTGGGTTTCTAAGTTAGCAAGGTTAGTTTTCAGTTGGCTGATGGTTTGGTCTTTTTCTTCCTGGAAAACCTTTTGACAAGCATAACATCATTTCCCTTTGCTTTTGTCCTTAATGTCAACATAAACTCAGTTGTCAAGAATGTAAATGTTTTGGCAACGAATGCATTTGCTCTTTCATCGGCGAGAACTTTCATCACTTTGGAGTTTCTGTTCTAACCCTTGGACTTTATTTTTTTCTTGCTCGAGGGCTTGTTCGCGATTACGGATTTGGATTTTCAGTTCAGCAACCTCGGCGGCGTCTTCTTCCCTTATTTTTGTTGTCCATTGCTGTAAATCTTCCTCAAGTAGTTTGTTTTCTTTTTCTAATTTCCTCAATTTTTCTCGTTGTTGGTTTAAAAGAGTTTCGACATTTGGGTCTTGGAGTAGAATTCGGATTTCTTCTCGTAGTTCTTGAATTGTGTTTTGGGCTGCTTGGCAAGGACGGCATAATTCTTGTCCGTTAGGAATTTCTTTTCTAGTCGCACAGCCGTAGCAATACTTTATCATATTATCCCCTCCCTCCTCATTTGCTCTCTCTCTCTCTCTCTCTCTCTCTCTCTCTCTCTCTCTCTCTCTCTCTGATCAGTCTACCACATTAATTTTTCAGCTTGAAATTATCTGTTTATAAGGAGTTCAACCTGGACGACCATGTCTTCAAACAGTGTCGCCCAGTTCCTGAACAGTAATATTAAATTCTCCCTCATTGTCAGTTCATCATTCTAAATAAGCAGATCAGTTTTGCAGATTTCTTTTTCTCTCCGGATCTTCAGCTAATCAAGCTTTAAATTCTTCTAATTCGTAGTTAATCATCACCTCCTCCTTTCACTATAAAAAAAATAAAAAAACCCGCTAAACCGAACCAAAAAGGTCAGTTTAAATTAGACCAAAGCGAGTTAGTTTTTGGCTGGTTATCAATTGCCTTTAACTCTAAGCGGGTATTTTTCAACTCGGCTTGTTGTAATTGGCTTTGGAGGGTCAGTTTTTTGCGATTTAAGGCGAGGAGTTTGTTCTCCAACCGGCGAATTTCTTGGACGCCTTCATCGATATTCTCCTCTAACTCGCCTTTTAAAGCTTTTTTCTCCTCATAGTATTCGCCAAAGTCTTTTAAATTCTTTAAGCGTAGTTCGAGGATTTGCTGTTCTAAGTTGGCTATTTGTGCTTTTAATTCAGCCGGGTTTTCTTCGGAGGCATCGACAAAAGCTTCTTTGGCTTGCAATTCTTCTTCTAACTCGGTGATTTTGGCTTGGGCAGCTTGGAGCGATTGGAGGTAATTCTGGCTAGTTTGGGCATGGAATTTAATTTGCTCTTGGAGTTGGCTGATTTCTTGTTCAGGGCTGAGTGTCTGAGAGGTTTCTGGTTGCGAAGGTGATTTTTTTAAGGGAATATTAGGCAAAGGGGGAGTTGGGGAAATATCTCCGGTGCTTTTACTACGTTTTAATTGGCTCGGTTTAAAGTTTCCTTTGGCAAACTCTTGCTTAATTTCTTGGGCGAGTTGGTCTTTAGTCATCATTTTTTTTAGTTCGTCTATTTGGGCTTGTAATTGGGCAATGCTTTCTTTTAATTGCTGGATTTCTTGCTCTTCGGCGGAAAAGATTATCTCCGACTGGGAACCAGGGAAACTAGGAGCATTGGAGTTGCTCTTTAATTGCTGATTCTGATAATAAAGATAAATCACTAGGCAAACCAGCAAGATTATTAAGAGAATAGTCATAAGTTTAGGGTTTAGTTTTTAGGTTTAAGGCTTCGTTCAATCAGTTGGGCTTGGCAGTCTTCTAACTGGGAGGCTAATTTATCAATTAAGCGTTCTTTGTATTGGCAATGTGGGCAGTATTTTCGTTTTTTAGACATTAATTCTAGTTTGGGAAAAGCATTGGCGGCAAATTTCGGGCATCGGGCTGGGCAAGAGATAAGTTTGTTCGCAAATTAGGCATTTAGGCATGGTTTTTTTCTTTGAGAGCTTGGATTTCGGCTTGGAGTTTGTTTAATTGGGCTTGTTCTTTACCGTTTTTTTGTTCTAAGATTAATTGGCGAGTCCTTAATTTAATGGTATAACCGGCAAAAATGGCTAAGGAAACCACGTTAGTCACTCCTAAAACCAGGGCAATTTCACAACAGGTGATCATGATTACTTACTCGCGGCAATTAATTCAGCTAAGCCTTGACCCATTGTTTCATAACCGACTTTGATTTTCTTCGCGGCTTGGGCTTTTTGGGCGGACATTTTGGCATTAATGGTTAAGGCGTTATGCTTACATTCATGGGCAACTTGGGTGATTTTTTTGGGTTGGCTACCTTTTTGGCTTTGGTGGCACATACACTGGTAATAAACAAGAGTGTTTTTGCTTTTAGTTTGAGTTTTGGCTTTCCGGGATGGGGAAACCGGTTTTTTAGTTTTTTTCACCATTTTCTTTTTGGCAGCTTTTCTTGGTCGATCTATCACTGGCATTTTAAATAATCCCCTCCATATATTCAGCTTCATGGCAAGTAAATCCTTTTAAAGTTCCGACTAAACTCTTAATCACCATCAGCAAATATTCATAAGTGATTTCGTGGGCTACTTGTTCTGCTTCCGGTAAGGTTTCGCCATATTGCTCTTGGTAATCGGCTAACAAAGTGCGATAATCGGCGTCATCAGTGGGATTAAAATTTTTCTTTTCTCTTAAATTAGGCAAAGGTAGTTTTTGGTTGAGCAGGTCGGCAATTAAGTAATGGGTTTTTTCTTGGACTTGGTTTCAATAGCTTTCGTTGGGCGTAGCAGGCTGGTTGTTTTTGCGATTAAGTATAACCATGGTTATTTGGCTCGCTCCTTTCATTTATTTAAGGCGAATTTCAAGGCAAAACCAAGGGCGATACCTAAGGCAAGATATTTAAATTCAATTTGTTTTAGTTTTTTTAGCATAGTATTTAGTTTGAGTTAGTACTTTTTTAGGGATTTAGCACAGGAATCCTTTCCTTTGCAGGGAGTTTAACAAGAAACGGGAGTCTTTTTTGAGATATCTTTCCGTGGTCTGGAATTGGGAATGACCAAGGAGCTGTTGGAGAGAAGGGCTTTCTAAATGGAAATCATAGTGTAAGATGGAGGCAAAGCTTCTTCTTAAAGTATGGGGCGTAATAGTTCAGGGTAGGTTGAGTTCAAGGCTTTTTTGTTTTAAGTGCTTTCAGATGGCTTGCCGGCTGATTTTGGTTCATTGATCTTTGGTCGGATCCGACTTAGCTTTCTTGGCAATATAAGGGTGGTTAAGCAGATTAAAAACTAACCTTTGCTTATTGCCTTTGCCGTGAACTAAAAAAGCAGTTTTGTCTTCTACTGGAATTGGCTGTCAGGGAAAATTAATCGCTTCACTAACTCTTAAACCCAGAAAGCCCATTAAAAGCACACATTCTAAAAGCTTATCATGCCGATAGGGCAAATGAATACTCGAAGGAGTTTGGCAGAGAGCTTGTAATTGGGCGAGGGATAAAACTTGCTCTTGGGTTTTTTTGGGTGAGGGTATCATGGTTTTGTCAACTTGGCAATTAATGTTTTTGTCAACTTAGGAGTTATTTAGGGGTTGTTTCCGGATAATAAGTTAACAAAATACAAGATTAGGTAAACTGGGGAGAGGGGATGATTAGCAAACCGGTATGTGTGCTTTAGAGTTCCTGCACGAATGATTAAAACTTTTAAAGATAGTGCTAATTTTTCCCTCCCCAGCTTACCGCACGGTCTGAATCTTAAAAGGTAAGACAGTTAAGCAAGTATTCACCAGAGTTTCCACGGTCTGCTGGGCTAAAAAGCCACACAGGATAGCGAGAACACTAGTAAATAAAAGACCAGGTGTGGACATTATCAGTCGTCTCCAATCAAATGTTTTAATTGTCTAAATTGTCCGGCTCCGGTATGAACTCAATGGCGAAAGTAGCAACCGCCAAAGAAACAAAGGGCTAGTCAGAGTAATCACTTTTTAGACATTTTGCTCCTTTCGGCTAATATTCATTATCATGGCGGTAAATTATTTCACTCTGTTTGGACTGGGAACTGGAACTAGAGCTATTTTGGTCTCTTTTGGCTTTGAATAGAGCTAAAGCATACTTGCCAGCGTAGCCAATTAAGATGCCAATGGTGAGCCATTTAACAGTTTGGTAGATTTTGTCGTTCATGGTTATTCTGGGCTTTTTTTCTTGTTAAAGTAAATTAGCAAGGCAATTCCGACCGCAGCAGCGACTAGAATGAGGGCAGTCTTTTTGTTAAATCAGGATTTTTCGTTATTCATAGTTGATTAAAATAAAGTCTTGGGCAGGTTGGCAAGTGAGTTTGGGCTGGGTTTGCTGGGAAAGTTCGTAATTTCAGCAAGCATTACCGGCTTGGATAAGGACTTGTTTAGTGGGTTCAGTATAGCGAGGAATAAGGGCTAATTGCGGTTTGAGGAAACTAGCAGCAGAAGCAGTGTGGGAGATAGTTGTTAAGCCAATCACGGCATATTTTAAAAGTTGATATTTATTCATATTAGTTTAGTTGGGGGTTTTTTATTTGATGAGTTTGGGCGGGGGCGGAAAGCAAGGTTAAATCTTTTTGAATGGCTTTTTGAAAGGCAGGACGCATATTTTTTCAGTTGACAAGTTCGACGATAAAAGGAAGATTGGATTGTTCGAATTCTCATCTTATTTCACTAGCCACGCGACTGGGCATTTCTTCTTGGTAGCAGATATCCAGATCCGAAAATTGGCGAGCGTCACCTTTTACCCGGGAACCATAAGCGTAAAAATGGTAAGGGTGCTTAGACAGGATTGAGCGAAGAATCTTAAAATGCCTTTTTTCTATTTGCAACATATTATTTTAATTTTTGCAAATTATTAAATTTTTAGTTCTTAAACAATTTCTGGGCAAATTCTTGGGGCTTAAGGTCAATTACATAGCGAGCGGTGTAGGCAATAAGAATGCCAAGGAGCAAATACTTTCATTGAATTCCTTGGGGATTATCTTTTCAGAAAAAGGCAAGAGCAAGCAAGAGAAAGACTGCCAGCAAAATCACCACAATAGCTTGTTGAGTATTCGCTCCCCGAGCAAAGTTTTCTTGGACGATAACTTTGAATTCTTGGGTTTTATTTTCGAGAGTGGGCTGAATGTTCTCTTGATAAAATCCGGTTAAAGCTCCCTTTAAATCCGGTAAACCTCAAGCCATTAGCTATTAGCCTCCTGCTTTTTGATATAGTGATAAACAAACATTCCCATGATAGCCGTGGCGGCTAAGGCAAAAGTGATTATTTTAGTCGTTTTGCTATCATCAGGAGCAATGGCAGTTAAGCTTTGCTTTAATTCTTGGGCAGATTTGATTAGATTAGTTGGGTTAAGACTAACTGCTGGGGTTGATTGAATTATTGGCATTTTCGTTGATTTCTTTTTTCTGGGCTTGAGCTTCTCTTTCAGCTTTTTCTTGGGCAAGTTGGGCTAAGTGTTCACTTCCTTCAATTCACTTGGTTTCTTTTTGGGCTTGGAATTGCTGGGCTTTAGCTTGTCTTTCCCGGAATTTAGTGACTCGGTTTGATTCAGGCTCAGAGGCAAGTTTATTGATTTCAGGAGGAGAATTAGAGTTTATTTCTGGTTCCTCTTCATTTTCGTAGAAATCTCTTACTTTTCAATACTTTTCTCCGCGTTTATCGACCCGGGGCATGGCAATCATTCTTTGGTCAATGAATTTAATGATTAAATCATTAGCATGTTTGGGGTTGCGGCTGGGTCAGATAATCAGGTTTTGCTTTTTGGGGTCAATTACATGGCAATTACAGCCTTTGGGCTGGGTTGGACTGGCTAAAAAGCGGTCAATAATTCTTTCTAATCACTCTTTATCTTGGTCGGATAAAAGAGCGATCTTTTCAATCAGGGAAAGGGCATTCATATTTTTAGGGGTTATTCAGATTCTTTTTTGCTAAATAATTTGTCTTTGAGCTTTTGGAATAAGGCACTATCATAGAGGTAGCAACCGATCGCAATGCCTAAGCAAGTCATTACGAGTTTGCCGGTGGCTCAAGAATATAAAGTATTTTGGGTTGGTTGTTCGTTATTCATAATGGTTTATTTTTTCATTTGTTGGAAAGTCATATAGGCAACCGAAGCACAAGCTCCTAAGGCGGCAAAGATTAAAACGCTATAAGAAAGGGTCTTGGTAATGGTGTATTCTAATTGTTCGCGATCTAAGGTTTTGGGTTGGCGATATTTTGATTCTTGGTTTAAGTATTCGTTTTTCATATTATTTTAAGGTTTGTTGAATTTGGGTGAGCTGTTGGCTAATTTGCTTTAACAAGGCAATCATTTGTTGTTGGTTTTGGCTTTGGGTCTGGGAAAATTGGTCAAGCTTTTGGGTTAAAGGGGTGAGATCAGGAAAAAAAGACATGTTATTCAGTTTCGTTATAATTTCGTTCAAATTCCGGCTGTGGTCGAGGGTTAAATTCCAGACTACGCTTAGTTTCGGTGGCTAACAAGTGAAAAGACTTATTGGTGCTAGCTACTTGCTGACTTAGATTGGTTAGCTGATTGGAAGCATTATTTTCTAAGCTTTCTAGTTTAGTTCACAATTGCTGTTGTTTGTTTAGGATTTGTTGCTGGCTAAACTGCAACTGCTGCACTCCACTCAAAATATCGGCTAATACTCCAGTGGGAGGTATCTTTTGTCCGGTCAACATTTCTAAACCAACCGGGATTCAAGGAATGAGTTGGAGAAATTTTTCCGGAATTTGGAAGAGACCTTTTTGAGTTGGTTGCTGATTAGTTTGATTTTGAACCGATTGCTCTTGAAATTGGGCTTGAGTTTGGCTTTGCTGACCTTGAAACTGAGCATCAGGCTGACCAAATGCTTGATTTTTATTTAATTGAACCATCTTAGTGAGTTAATTTAATAATGGAATCCGCGGCAAAGGCTATTCCGCCAATTACCGGCAATAATTCAATGCTTTTCTTTACTAGGCTAGCTTCGGTCAAGCTGGAACCAAACCATCACAAGACAACACAACCAGCCGCAATTGCTAACAATCAATGCTTCTTTTCTCACTTTCAAGCTTGAGTTTGCGGAATATAAGCATTCTTTTCTTGCGTTCGAAGATTGGGATTAACCATAATTAGCGATTATATTTCTTTTCTAAGGCTTGATTCAAGGCTTGTTTTAACTTACTCGCCATGGTAAACTTGATTTTATTAAAAACATAAGCTTTACCATAAGACTTACCTTTCATATGGCTCACCATTTGACCTTCGGTTTTTTTCAGAGAACCTAAAGAACCCATGGAACCAATCTGGATAGTTTCATTGTTTTTGGCTTTGATTAAGCGATTAAATAAATCTTGGGTGACTAACTGATAAGCTTGTTTTAATTCTTTTGGGGTGTAATTCATTTTAGACATAGGGCAAATAAATATATAGCAATTATTGTCGACAGTTAATTTCTATAAGTTTCTTTTTAGGATTTTGCTTTTTGGGCTAACAAAAAAAAGCGTTGGTATATCACGTGATATATTAGCTGATATATCAACGGAATTTTTAGGTTGTTTTTAGTGGTTGGGTTGGAGGAATTTTTTTTAATTTTGGCGGTTGGATTGATTTTGGGAGAACTTGGATTGAGGGATGAGGATAGTTTGGCTTGATTTGGCGAGATATTCTTTGTTTAGTTTCTTATTAAGATAGAGCAAGCTAGAGATACCCGGGAAGAGTTATAAGGAAATCCCATTCTTAAAAAAGAAAACTAATAATAAAAGAAAGGGCGAAAAGACGGCTAACCTTAATTTTATTTACAGAGTAAATAAGTTTTTAGAATAGGCTAGATTTAAGGCAAAAAAAACCTTTTCTCCTCCTCGGCTAATCTTCAAAAGAGTAAAAATTGAATAAAGTTATACTCTTCCCATTTAATTAGCCCCAACCAAAAGATTTTGTTCAGCTACGGCTCTCCCCAATAGAGCATATCCCTCTGGTTAAATCTGGATCGGAATACCGGTCGAGAGAACCAGAATAGTTGATTCAACCTCACTACTTGTTTACCAAAGGCTTTTGTTGATATACGGCTCACTTATTGCCTTAGAGACAGGTATTCCTGCTCTAATTTATCTGGTTTTCGGTTCAGCAAAGCATGATTGAAAATCAGGGCAACTTTTGGCTAGGTATTGGGCTGTTTCCCAGGCAAAAAAAGAAGCTTACAAGTTCAGAGAACTTACTGGGATTGATTTCTTTTCGGTCTAATCATAAAGACCTTTGTAATTGACTAACTTGTCATCTACAAAATACCAGCAATTGGAGCAATAAGAATGAGTACAGGTTGAAGCACAATTATAGTTAGTTTGGGTTTGCCATTTTTTAATTAAGTGAGTTAGTTTTGGGTTAGCCATTTTGAGACTAGGTTTGCCATTGGCGGGTTTGTCGTGGCTAACCTCGGCTAGATTTTGGCTAACCCGTTCGGGAATGGCTGATAATTTGGCTAACCTCCTTTTTTCGCGTCTTTTTTGGTTAATAATTTCTTTATGGATTTGCCAATAAGTCCGGAGTTGCTCTTTGGTGTAAGGCATTATGAAGTACCTCCTTCAACTTTTTTTCTCTCTTCTTGGGCTAATTGAGAGTTAAAGCATGGTCAAGAACAATAAAAGACACTTTGAAGATATTGGCAATTGTCGTTGGTTGTAGGCTTAGATTGATTATTATTGACCAAGATTTCGCGGTAAGTGTTTAGATCGTTTTGATAATACTTTTCTTCAATTCATTTAAGGGAGGGGTTGTGCTTAGTGATGCGGCAAAAGAAGCATTTTATTGTATTTCTCTTGGCATACTGAGCTTGGTTGCGGGCTTTTTTGGCGTTTAATCAGGCTTGGTGGGAAATGGGGTTCTTCTTTAAGTGAGTTGGTTTTTTGTGGGGATACTTGGGCTGATTGGCCGGGGAGATTTGCTTTTGATATTTATTCATGAAAACCTCCTTGGCTTGTTTCCCTAAACAGCTTGCTATAATCCTGATACAACTTCTCGTAGCTATTATAAATATATCCCAAAGTGGTCTGGTGATTGCTATGTCCTAATTGCTTAGAAATAGTTTCTATCCTGCCTCCTTTGTTGTAGAGGTTAGTTGCCAAACTTCTCCGGAAAGTATGTGGAGTTATTCTCTTTTGAATACTAGCTAACTTGGCTTTCTTTAAAATAATCAGGTTGATGGTCCTAGCAATCATTGGATTTCCTTCTTCGGTAAGAAAAAAACAACCCCTGCTATAAGGATCAAACTTATTAGCCAAAAAAGGCGGCAGGAAAATATGCCTGACTTTATTGCCTTTGCCGAGAATTCTTAAAGTATTGCCTTCTCAATCTCGGTGCTTAATGTTGACTAATTCGGATACTCTTAAACCCGAATAAAATAAAAAGTCTAAAATGAGGCTGTTCCTTTGATAAATTGAATCACTTTCTTCAAATCTAGCTTGCTTTAATTTGACCAATTCTTGTTCGTTAATAGTAATGTGGAATTTTCTTTGTATTTTGGGGATTAATTTAGCTACTCTTTGCCAATGGATTTTTAGTTTTTGGAATTTGGCATAGACTGAAAAGGCATTTAGTTTAGTTTTCCAAGTAGTTGGCTCGTATTTCAATAATTTATCTTTGACATATTTGTAAAGGTTGGGTGTGTTTAATTTCTTTTCTCCGTAGAGCCGAGCGGTTTGGAGATAGTTTTCAATGGTGAGAGGAGAAAGGTTTTTTCTTTTTAGTCATTGATTGTAATTATCGAGTGTTTTCATTTTAATCTTTTAATTCCTCCCAATCTATTAAGTAATAACTTCCTTGGTAATTCCGGCAAGAAAAGAGATATTTTTTGCCGACATAGGTGTCGGTTTCTAAGGCTTTTCAAATCAGAGTTTTGGTTTTATTCTTAAAAGCAAAGAGTTTCTGAGGGTGAAAGTAGCCTTCGAGTTTGACATTTAGCTGATAAAAGTATTGGGAATGTCTAGGATTCTTTCGTTGGCTTTTCTTTTGGATGGTACCAGTGAATTTATAAAGATAGTTAGCTCGTTGTTTAGTCATGGTTTGCCTCCTCTTTTACGGCTTCTTTGAATTCCTCTTTGGCTAGGTGGAGCATGATGTGGTCTTGGAAAGTTCGGCTGAGGATTTCTTCTCATTGGGCTGGGCAATTGGTTTCACAATTTTGGCTTTCCTTTTCGTGAATTTCGAGGAGTTGGAAAGTAGCAAAACAGTGAGAGCAAGTGAAATTGAGTTGTTTTTCGATTTTGTTGTTCATTATAATTGCCTCCTTTCACATTCTTCGCAAACTCGGGATTTTTGTCAAAATTTAAATCAAGATTTTCAGCCCATTCATTGCCCACAGCGAGAGCAGTAATTGTATTTAGCCATGGCGACCTCCCGGCTTTTTAATATTTAATTTCTCCCCAATTTCTTTTATTCATTGAGCTTGATTATATTCTTTAGTTAAAGATAAATTACCAATTTTTATTTTCTGCAGTTGTTCAGTTCCGGAGCGAACTAAATAACAGTCTTGGTTTTCGATTTGAAAATAAATTTCTTCAGTTTTTAGCTTTTGGATTATTTCTTGAAACAAAGGATAGTTGGGAAGAGTTAATTTAATCATTTAAACCTCCTCAATTAAAGTCTACTTTGGGTTTGGTGCCTTTTTTGATTTGTTTAGTTTGGCAGGAATGGCAAGTATAGATGAAATAGTTGTTGCCATGTAAGTGGAAACTATCATCAATTCAAGCTAAACCACAAGAGTTGGTTGGTTTTTTAGGTTGTTCGGCGAGAAAGTTGAAAGCAGTTGGGTTTAAATTAAAATTATTCATGGTTATTTTCCTTTCTTGGCTCTTGGTTAATTACTCGGTAATGAGCTTCAATTATTTCGTGTAAGAAAGCTCTTAATTGGGCTTTTTCTCTTTTTAGTTTGGCTATTTTGGCTTGGAGTTGCTTAATTTGTTGATTAACAATCATCTTCTACCTCCTCTTTTTGATAGTTTTCTCAGAGTTCTAGTTTGGCTTTTAAGCCGTTTTCATGGTTGAGGATTTGGTTGATTTTATCTAGGGCTTCTTCTAAGTCATCGCAATAATTTGGGTCTCACATTTCTGGGTCATCTTCATTGGGAATTAAGCAATCTTCGAGGGGCAAGATTTCTTGGAGGAGTTGAATATCTCTCCGAATGGCATTCTTTAATTTTGGCTTAGTCAGGTGTGAGACATCCGCAGTAGCATAAGGATATTGCCAAAGTAATTGCTGAATTTTAGCTTGGCTTTGTTTGAATTGCTTTAAAAATTTGCTTTCTTGGTAAGGGGGATGCTGGGGATTTTTACATCTTAGATAGTGATTATCCGGATAATCCTTGTTATAGCAATGTTTAAAGCATTGATTTTGGCAAAGGGGATCAACTGCTTTACCACATTTTTCACTAAAACTAGGGGGTAAGTAAGCTCGACAAGTTTTGATTTTATTCATGCTTTTCCTCCTTTCTGAAACCGCCTTTTCATATTTTATATTCGTTGGAGAGTTTTCAATCGAGACCGTATTTGGCTTTTAGTTCAGCTTCTTTTTGTTGGTCTTTGGCATGGAGTCTTTTTTGGATTTCGGCGGGGGTTTCTTGCCGTCCGCTTTTGAGGCGATTGGAGTGTTCATGGGACTTAGTAATATCAGGGTCTAATTCATCGGTGGTGGGGATTAAGAAAAACTTGGTAAGAAAGTATTTAATCGCGTAAGTTTCCGCACAACCTTTGGCTTTGGCAATATCAACATTTTGTCCAGCAGCTCAGAAGTGAAAGGTTAAAGTTTCTTCGGGTTTCTCGGAATTGGTGAGAATGGCTTGCTTGCGGTATTGGATTACTCATTCTTTTTCGGTTTTTTGGCTGGTAAAATCGGTTGAACCATCACTGAAAGTAAGGGTTAATTTATGCTCGGTTAGCAAGGGTTTAAGGATATTTAAAGCCTGTTGCTCATTGAAATACTTATAGTTTTGGTATTTATTATGTTCGATTTTGTTGATGGCTCCAGTTCGGGCTTGAATGCTTTGGAGTTTTTGGTAGATATTAACCACGCTTGACCTCCTTGGACTTGAATGGATGCTTTTGTCGATAATGCTGTTCCATTATTTGGGCTATACCAGCCATAAAATCACAGCCATAAAAGCAATTAATCTTAGGCTTGGTTAAAGCACAAAGTTTGCACTCTCTCGGGGGTTTGCCTTTAAATTTGATTACTCCACTGCCATTTCCACACTCAGGGCATTGATTTTTAGCGTATCTGTTGCCATTAATCGCACAAGAGCGGCAATAATCATAATTGGCTTGTTTAAAACAAGTGAAAGTATCACCGCAACCGGTACAGGATTTTTTAATTCTTGGTTTTTGGGCAGGTCTTGCCATGACTATGTTTCGCATAGTTTCAGCTAGCAATGATTTGTTAGCTCAAATTATGCTCTCCTCAACTAACCCCAGGAGGATAAAAGCACCAAGTAAGGTTGAGGAGAAGGGAGAACTTAGCTTTAACGCTAATCTTACTTGGCTCATATATTTCCCCGGTCAGTTTCGAATTGACCGTTAAGATGGCTCTCTTTTACATGGGGGTTCTCCCTCCTTCCTGTTTTCAGGGATGGTGATAGTTTAGATTTCATTGATTGAGATAAGCATTGCGAGCAATGGTTGGATTAGGGAAACGACTATCTAAAAAGCTTTGTTTCTCTTCAATATCAAACTCTTGGGCTTGGTGGTCGAGATTAAGCATGAATTCTTGGATTAAATTAGCATTCTCCTTAGCAAATTTGAAGCGGAGAACTGGCATTTTTTGGAAGTGCGTGTAGTCTAATTGGTCGCATTTGCTTTGGGTTTGTGGCACTTTTTGCTGCTCGAGAGGTAAATGATGGAACTCGGCTTTTTTACTCATTAAAAGCAAGCTAGAAATTAAGTATTCTTGAAAGTCAGCAGGGACGATTTTAGTGGCTGGTTTTTTACGGAAAGCTAAGGAGACTGACTGTTTAGTCGGTTGAGCTAATTGGCAAAGGGGTAGTGTGCTTAAAGCATGATAACCTAAACGGTAACTTTTTTTAATGATTAAAGGTTTGGCACAATGCCCAATGAGTTGCTCATTAGCACGATAATAGCAAGTGTTATCTGACTTACGGAAAATATGTTGATTAGGAGCTAGATATCTGCCGGTGAGAAAATCCTGTTTAGAACCATTAGAGACTGTGGCTTGGTGGGTTTCGTATTGGTAAAGATTTTTAAAAAAGCGGTAGGTCTTGTTTTTGCTGTTAAGCCCATGTTGCTGGTAAAGATTACGGAGATGGAAAGATTTAGAGAGATATTTAGCCAAATATTGGCTAATGGTTTTACGACCAGTAGAACGGCTTTCTACTCTGCCTCAAGGTCAGAGTTTCGAGATATAGGCTCGACAGTTCCAGCAAGATTTAAAGTTTTTAGTTAAAGTGCATTGATGAGCATAGGGGACAATCGGAGTACTAAGGAAATGAAAATGCCAATGTCCGTTTTTTTGTAATTCCGCTATTACTGCTCATTTTCATTGGGAAGGCTTAAAGATACGGCGAACTTTCCGGAGAAATTGGCTTAAAGCTCGGCTGGCTTGGCTTCAATTGCTCGCTATGCTTTCTGGAACTTTTTGGATTTTTACCTTTAAAGGCTCAGCTGATGGGTCGCAGTTAGCGGCTCAGGTTTTTAATCAGGGTAGTTTCTTTTGGAGTAGTTCCCAGCAAGTGTCCTGAGGGTTTCAGTTAGTAGTGAAAGTTGATAAATCATCCCGGGCAGTATTAAAAGTTAAAGTGAGAAAAAGCAAAGGGCGCTGTTCGGCTTTCCCTTCAAAGTTAGCTTCTATTTTGTCTTTGAAAATAGTGTGGAGGCGTTTTTCTTTAGAGTTGAATAGGGAGAAATATTGGCAATTTTGGGCATCTTTTCGGCAATCAGCAGGTAAAGTGGACTGGGGCTTTGGTGGGGTTGGCTTAGATGGGTCTTTTAAGTAGAAATTCTTGGCGGAAAGTTTCGACAATATCACGCTGGTGCGTTGGGTGCTTTCTATTTGCTTAAAGGAGACATTGAGGACAGTAAAGGAACGATGGTCAGATTGGAGTCAATTCTGTAAGTCTACTGGGGATATTTGCTTGATTTTGTTTAAAGCTTCCATAAGTGGTTTTGGATCTTTAAAATTCAAACCTGTTGTTATGTTTACGTTAAAAAATATTAAAAAAAATAAAAGAACTTTTAGATGATGAAGAGCCGACCCTAGATAAATACAAACAATTGTATAAAGATTGAAATCAAGAAAAAGAAGAATATGATGGCGAAAATGATTATGGCGGAGCACTTTTTGTTTTAAAAAAACTTTTAGACGAATGGGAAAATCCACCTAAACCAGCTTTAACTCCTGAACAAGAAGAAAAATTAAAAAATTATGATGAGTTGAAAAAAGAAAATGAAAAACTGCGAAACAGAGAACTAACCGACAATGAAAAAAAAATAATGTCTGAATTTCGCCGAACATTCCCTAATACAGGAACCATAAATGCTCGTTTAAGAACAGTAAGAAGAATGTTAAACAATCTAGAAAGAAATGATTTAAGTGTTGAAGCTAATCCTAACCTTTCAGCTGAAAAGATTAGCTTTTCCCAACGGTTAGCTGAAAGCTTTGAGCAATTTACTTTAGTTTGTGAGCTTTATCTTGGCACGGAACGCGATTTTTCTAAAAAACTCAAAGAATTAAGAGACGAAATTCACAGATTAGAAGACAAAATTGATGAGTTAGAAGGAGAAAGACAATAAAAAGTTATCGATTTATAAAATAAATAAGTTTTTGAAGTTGAAACACAGCTATCCAGGGTCAGCAAAAAAACAAAACACGTGGGCTTTTTGAGATATTAAAAAACTAACCGCCAAATCTCCAAAACCTTTCGTTAAATGAGCGGGAGGTAAAACTAAGTTTTTAGAGACAAAATAGACTAAAATATTATATATGGCAGTAATAAATATTAATAACCACCGTGGAAATTCAGCGATTGGTAAAGTAAAAGATGGAGTAATTGAGGCAAGAGACTATTTAAAGAATATCTGAGCCGTAAGCAGAGGAGACAACCGGGGTCAAAATACAAGGGCGGCAATACAAGATTGACTTGAATGAATTTTTGAAGGTGTTGACCTAGCTGACCTTGGAGGAGCAAGCAGCGGAGCGAAAAATATCGATTGGCTAGTCGGAGAAGCTGATAGGAATAATACTGTGTTAATTTCAGCCGATGGTGGAAATATGGCTCGGGACCTTCAAACAGCACTCGGAGGAGCAGGTGGGACTGGTGCCATTGACACCGAAGAAAACATCTTACAGTTGCTAAACGACTTGTGCACCGAGATGACATTGCTCAACCATGCTCGAAAAGCTTACAGAAATAAATTACAACGGAAAATAGACGATAGAGGAGATGATCAAGGAGACCTTGCTATATTATTAGGAAATGAAAATATAGGCCAGGAAGATGAAAGAGCCGTTTTTAATTTAGCCGACATATATTGTTTAGAAAGATTTATTGATGACTTTTTCGGAGACGACAGCAACATTGAAACTAAGGTTATTAGAGAGTTATTTGGGGGAAGTACTCGGTTCGCATCCGATATAATTGATGGAGGTAATTTTTATGAGGATAAGGTTAATGCGGACAATCCAAATAATGACTTTGTAAATTTTCGAAAACTTTTTGCTCGTGTAGTAAACGCAAATTTTTCGCCAGTTGATGATGAGGACAGTAATAATAACATTATTGGCAATAACGCAGAGGATAACAACGCTGGATTTGATAATTTAATAGGCAGTTTAGCTTTTGCCTGAGAAGAATTGGCCTTAATGACCCAGCTTGTTCAACAACGAGAAGAATGCTTAGAAGCTTTGGCAAAGCAGCGAGGTGTGGGTGACACAGACGAACTTATTAATGATTTTCGTGATAGTGTTGTTTTTCTTCCTATTGCTTTTCCTCCTTCTAATGATTGATGGGCACGCTTTAGGAGTCGGACTGACCTTACTGTAAGAGAAGAAGAAGGAAATGACAAAATCAATGAAGCATTTAATTGAACTTTCCGAAAATTAGATTTTTCAGGGAATAGAGTTTTCCGAAAAGTTACTGAACCAGACCGAACAAATAATAATACAAACGATGGAGATGCTGAAATTAAAAGATATCAAGGAAGGTCATTGACCGGAACCCAAGCCGCTTTGGCTTTTGCCAGCGGAGTTGGTGCCAGTAAAATAAGAAGAAACGGAATCACTCAACCAGGAACAAATGACCCTGGACATGATTTAAAAACCCCGACAGGTTTAAGAAATATAGTTAGAAAAAGAAGTTTAAGAAATAATTCATTAACAGATAACGTTTGAGATAATGGCGCCAGTGGACTATCAGCAGAAGAACAAGCGATTTTTAATGATGATGTAGTAGTTTTAGATACTGCCGCTGCTGAGCATCACGCAGCTTTATTATTAGCTCATTTACGAGCAGCCAAAAATGGTCAGAAATTAAATTCTACAGAAGACGGAGAGGACAATTGAGGTGTTAATAATTATGACTTCAATCAGGCTGGTGGGATTCCAAACCTTGACGCCCCTCACGACCAAGATAACGCAGAAGTAATCAAGTTTTATCATGAAGCTTCTGATAATTCTCCCGCTAATCGTGCTCGACAAGCACTTAATACCGCTTTTAATAATATAGTTGACCGAGTACATGCAAGGTATGAAGAATTGCGAAACGCTGAATTTGTCGACCAATTCAAAAGGCAACGAATGTTCTCAAACCGCATTGACGAAAAATGAGCCGTACTCGATGTTATTCCGACACCTGAAGCCATTACAAATTTTCAAAACAAAAGGATCGACGGAGTCCTCGCTGGTTTAATTTATAACTTAGGTTATACTGGAAATGGTCTTTCAGAAGATAATGCCGAATTACCATATGCATTTGCTGATAATGGTATCGATGACGAACCTGGTAGAACTTTTGATTTAATGATTGATGATGAACGCTTAAATTTATTTCGCATTTGTTGCTCGCGAGAAGATCCTTTTGATTGAGGCAATGAATGAGAAGTTGATTTATCAGCAGGAGAGAAAGGCATTATTAATAACCCGAATGTTAATACTGCTGGAGGCAAATACTACACAGCATTACTGTTAAGTTACTTACGAAGAGTGAAAGCGGCGGCTAATAGTAGCAACACAACGCCGAATCCGAATGCTGAATTAACCCAAAACACCAATGACTGAACCGACCAAGCGGCTAACGAGGCTTTAATTAATGCGCAAATCACGGCGGTAGACAATAATATCTTAGCAGCTTTACAAGACTTTGAAAGTGCAGCAGCTAGAAACACTGCGGCGGGAACTAACCGCCTTGCCGAAGATGTGGCTAAAGAATTAGCTTGAACCCAAATAAACACCAACCGAGGTGGGGTAGCCCAAAAGGTCTTGAATAAATTAAATAACCTTGACTCAACTACTTTGATTAACAAATACCGCTTTACCGGCAACCGAGTGGACCAAGAAATGACGGCCAATCGAGCTATTGACTTAGATCCTTACACTGACAATGGAGCCGAGCGGGAAACTGCCGCTTTAGCTTACGTTTTAGGTTTAGATGAAAATAGCATTAACACTGGCACTAACATTGGCGGAGCCGGAAACAACCTTGCCAACCGGGGCAAAATTGAACATGGTGGAAACTTATACGATCCGGCGGTTGCCGCAGAACTAAAAGATATTGCTCAAATTCGTTCGATAGCAGCGGATCCCCTTAGTGCGGATGGAAACGGCGCCCGAGGTACTGCTTTAACTGCTAAGGAAAGGCAGGTCTTTGCTCAAGGAGTTTTAAATGATCAACCCAAAGCCACCCACGCGACTGCCGTCTTATTAGAACACTTACGCACTTGAAAAAACGGTGCTTTAGATGCTGGAAATGACTGAACCGGAGCAGGCAACCAAGCCTTTATTGATGCCCATAACTTTACCAATCCTCAACAAGCGATTATTAATGATTACGCCGGAGCAGCTGACAACACGGACAAAAAACGAGCTTACCAAGCGATCAATGCTGAATTTAGTGGCTTAGCCCAAAAAGTGTATGAAAAATACGGAGTTGGTCAATACCGCTTTACCGGCAACCGAGTGGACCAAGAAATGACGGCCAATCGAGCTATTGACTTAGATCCTTACACTGAC